GACGGCGCGTTGCTGGCGCTCGCTCCCCCCTGCCCCGTACTAGCATGGGGTGCTCCGGTCCGACTCCTACTTGCCGTAGTAGCGCCGCTTGATCCCGCCCCTCGGTTTCCACCAAGTTGAGGGCAATTTGGTTTAAGATGCCCCGTGTCTCCACATTGGTAGCACCGAGGAGGGTCACGACACTTACCGGCGTGGCTCCTGTTGCAATTTCGGCACCTGGGCGCTGTCGAGGCTTGTGAGCCCGAGTTGTGCCCGCCGAAAGCCGAGTTTCCCTTGGATGGCGGCGCCGGTGCCCTGAACGATCCTCCTCCCCCGTGGTTCCCCTTTTTGTTAGAACCTTGTGGGCCATGGCTTTCCCACTTCCTCTTCTTCGCCTCCTCGGCGTTCCTCCGCTTTCTTTCCTCCCACTCCTTCTCTCCCTTCAGGCCCTGTTCAACCACTTGACTAAACGTCATATTAGGCAATTGTGTTGCCCTCTCGCGTATGTCAAGGTCTAAGGCATCCCAGAAGTGGTTCACCATCCGGTTCTCATCACATATGTACTCCGGTATGAATTCGGCAAGCTTTCTGAACTTGTGCTCAAGTTCCTTCACCGTACATGCGCCTCCCTGTGTCAAGTTCGTATACTCCCTCCTCTTCATGTTTACCTCGAAGTCGGAGTAGTATTGGTTGAAGAACTCCTGCCGAAAGTTCTCCCATGTGACGGCTTCGCCGTATTTTCCTTTGACCCCGTCCCACCACGTGGACGCCATGCCTTCGAGCAATCTTGTTGCCACCCTCAATTTCATGATGGGTGGCAGCTGCATGTCAAGGGCCGCCTCGTTGAATCTTTTGATCCATTCGGCTGCAACGGAGATGTCTCTCGTTCCATCAAACGGTTTACATCCCAAATCTCGTGCTTCTTTGATAAATTTGGAGATCCTTATGGTTGGACCTCCCACATCTTGGCCTCCATGTGGTTCAACATGGACTCTAGAAGCACCTTGGCTTCCTCCTCTCGAAGCCATGCCCGAAGGTTGCCCCGTTCGGCGCCTTCGGCGTTGTCTCCTCTCTTCGCGCTCCCGGTGGTATTGTTGGAGCAGCGCCTCGATCCTCCCAAGAGTGCCATCGTCTTCACTCTCTTCACTCACATCGTCATCTTCCCCATCATATGGGGTTTCCACCGGCTCGGTTTCCGGCCTATAGGTTGAGTCCTCATAGGACCAATAAGTCTCACTCTCGGTGTCCACGTGGCCATCGCTCACGGTTTGTTGTTGGCCTCCACGGCCCCTTCCCCTGGACACCCTAGTGGACCCCCGGCTGCCGCGTTCGGACCCACCCGGTACACGGCCCGTCGGGTTCCTCCTAGTGATCCTTCCAATTGGCTCCATTTATGAAAGAAGTTTAGAATGAGCCATTAGACTCGTATCAACTGTCAAGTGACGGATAGGTACTTAAAGACCATTAGACTCATACCAATTGTTAAGGGTACCATCTTAACAATTAGAGACCTTGCAACTCAAGTACCAAAAGTTCCATAAGTACAAAACTTTATGCTCATGGTTTGCAAAATCGTTTTCAAAAAGGAGTTTTGAAGCTTCGTTATGAAGTTTACGGACTAAGGCTCTGATACCAATTAAATTGTCACGCCCCGGGCCTATCCGGACACGTCAACAATCCGCCGTACAGTACGAATAGTCAACCGCAGTCCAACACATTCATACTATACAAGGCGTCTGGGATATCATTCACACATAGTACATCCATAAACAAACATAATGTAAAATATTCATTCAAAGCAGCGGAAACGTTTGATACAAGTGTTCAAGACTTCATGCCACACTTGGCGAAACATGGGCATACAAGCCATCAAATAGTTATTCAAAAGATAACATCCATGAGCATTAATTTAAATGATTTTAAAACAGGAACGGAGGAAGCACGAACCACGTCTTCTTCTCCTGAATTCTCTTGGAGCAACGGCGATGGTAGCAACCTTCAAGTTCTACCTGAAACTGTGAGGTGGCCTCCCCCGTGAAGGGGAGGTCAGTACTTGGAAGCATTTGACAAGTACAATGACAACTATACTAAGTATAATCAAAGTTTCAATTTCCAAGACCCTCAATCTAAGATGTTATTCATTTATAATTAACTCATGTCCTCCATGCTAGAGCTCGGCTCATAGTCATATCGATTTGTGCTAGAGCTCGGCTCATAGTCACCCTACGTTTGCTAGAGCTCGGCTCATAGTCATACTAATTTGTGCTAGAGCTCGGCTCATAGTCACCCTACGCTTGCTAGAGCTCGGCTCATAGTCATACTAATTTGTGCTAGAGCTCGGCTCATAGTCACCCTACCACGTGCTAGAGCTCGGCTCATAGTCACGTCAACTAATCCCTAAACCACTTCTTAGTCTAGGTTCCATCCATTTTGAGTAACCCCTAAGGCTTACTCTAAATGTAACTTGAGTTCATAACAATTTGAATATTTCAATTAAATTCCTCATTCAAGTATAACTTGGCTCTAATATCAAAATATCACTTTTATCCTTCCATGACTTTCTTACATGAGGTAAAAGTATATTTATCACAATTTAGTTTATAGTTTACAACTATTATACCATTGTATTCATAACACATAATCATACACAATTTATTCATAAATTCGTATATTATGCATTTTTGCTTATAATCAATAAGAATCTCATTTAGGCATTTTATTATTATAAATACATCATGCCAAACACATATAATTCATTTAGGTAATCTTATGAAATTAACCCAATAATTATAAGCAATATAGTCGGTCATCCTCACCTTAAGTGAGCTTAAGCGCGTTCGACGCTTCCCGGTTGAACTTTGACTAATTCCGGTGAACTTTGACCAACTCCGGCGAACTTTGACCAACTCCGGCGAAACTCCGGCGAAGCTCGAAAATGCTCTAATCAAGTTCCTAACAAGGTTTTAACATCATAAAACCTTAATCAAAACAAATAACCTTTAAAAGGTTATTTTCCGGTGAACTTGTCGGTTTGGTTCCTAAGTCCGTTTTTGCACTTAGAACCACTCTCCAACCTATTATTCCACACTTTAATTATGTAGAACAACCTCAAGGTCCTTCATATGATATATATCACATATGATAGAAGAAAAATAAAGGAAAAGTTAATATAAGGTTATTACCTTAATCTTTCTCACTTTTCCTAGCTTTTTCTCCTTTTAATCTTTCCCCTTGGACTTCTATTGCTTGAGCTCTCTTCAAGGATGGGAAAAGGGAGGATGGGGATTTTCTTTTCTTGCTGGGGTTGGTTCTGGCCGAGAGAAATGAGGGAGAGAGAGGTGAGGGGATGATCTTTTGTCTCAAAGATCAAATGGGGTGGATGTGGTCCCCCCCTTTTTTTTGTTTGATGCTTTTTCTTTCACTTCACACACATCACCCATGCCCCTTCCACCACCCAGCCGGCCAAGGCATGAAAAAATGTGTCTAATTTCGTGGGTTGGCCCCCACCCATGTGGGAGGTCAACCCCTTTTGTCCAGAAGTGTACACTTTGTCCCGAAAGTTGTATTTTTCGGACTGTTTTAAATATATTTCATTTTATCGGGTCAAATAAAATATATTATGTGTTCTCCATCATTATAACCCTTATAATGAATATTCATTCCCCAATTTTAATTTATAAGTCCCCGAAATTAAATTTTGGGCCTTTATCGGTTAAATTGCCAATACCGGTACTTGGGCCTCTTTTGACCAATCGGTCAACTCAAGACCTTTCCATGGTTCAAATGAATTATCCACCACCATATAAATATTATCTAGACCAAGATGAATAATTTATGTGGTCCCGGGAATATCGGGCGGCCCCCGCTCCCGGTGCGGGCCCCACGTGCGAACTTACTATTCACGCAAAAAATTAATAAAATTTCATAACCTCGTAAATTCGTCAACCATTTCATAAGGTTAAAATACAATATTCACTTTAAAAGTAAATACGTTTAGGGACGGTGTTACAAGTTATTATATCTATTCTTGAACGAAGTAGCTTATATTACGATGCTCGTAATTTTGTTGACAGTGTTCATTGGATTTAGCCTCAACTCACGACCAAAAATCATTTGCAGATTGATATCTGCTGGTGATTGGGTCTTGAGTAATGTTTAAACACACTTCACACAACAATGCGTCTTCCGCTATGGTGTAACTAGTTGATCTTGGAGTTATTTTGGTCGCAAAGAAAAAAAATATACTATAGATTGTGAGATAAGGGTTTTGATGAAGTGTGATAATTCATTGCATTAGTATATATAGAATGTAGAGGTTGATAAGGAATCCTTAGATTACCCGTTGGAAGGATTTCCTTATCTACACAACCATTGGATTCTTATCTTTTGAGATAAGCGTACTTGTCAGCTACATACAATTTGTGACAGAAGTTGATAAGGAATCATAAGATTACCCATTAGATGGATTTCCTTATTTTCACAACCATTAGATTCTTATCTTTTGAGATAAGCATATTTGTTAGCTACGTACAATTTGTGACACAAGTTGATAAGGAATCTTTAGATTACCCATTGGATGAATTTCTTTATCTTTACAACCATTGGCTTCTTATCTTTTGTGATAAACATACTTGTCATGTACTACTTACAATTTCAGACACAAGTTGATAGGGAATCATTAGATTGCCCATGGATGGATTTCCTTATCTTCACAACCATTGGATTCTTATCTTTTGAGATAAACATACTTCTCACGTACTACTTACAATTTTAGACACAAGTTGATAGGGAATCATTAGATTACCTGTTGGATGGATTTTCTTATCTTCCCAACCATTGGATTCTTATCTTTTGAGATAAGCGTACTTGTCACATACTACTTACAATTTCAGACACAAATTGACAGAGAATGATTAGATTGCCCGTTGGATGGATTTCCTTATCTTCACACCCTTGGATTCTTACCTTTTGAGATAAGCTTACTTGTATAAATATGAACAAATTAACACATAAGACGGATCACCATATCAACAAACAAATGAACTTCAATATTGGAGCATCCTCTTACATATCATCGTCTTCTTCTTCTGATGATGCTTTAGTGATGAACACTATAGCACAACTTGATGAAGAAGAAATGATGATGGTGGCACTAAAAACAACAACATGACAACAAGTCATTATTTTGGTGAGCTTAATAGGCCTATTAGTCACGGTGGATGAGTTGTTCATGGTCATGTGGTGATATTTAGATCGTGATCGAGAAATGGGAGACCATGATTTGTTCCTGGATTATTTCTCTCCAAATCCACGTTACGGAGAAGCATTATTTCGTCGACGATACCGTATGTCGCGGGATGTGTTCTTACAATTTGTTGGTATAGTTAGAAATCATGACAACTATTTCCACCAACGAAGAATTGCAATAGATATACTCAGATTATCAGCTTTACAAAAAATAACAGTTGTATTTCGTATATTGTCTTATGGTGTGACTGCGTATGCAACAAACGAGTACGTTAAACTAGGCGAGTCTACATCAATTGAAAGTATGAAAAGGTTTTGTCAATCTATTGTCGAAATATATGGAGAGCGCTATCTAAGAAGATCTAATGACAATGACATAGCGAGACTTCTTGACATTGGAAAACAATGTGGATTTTCAGTAATGTTGGGAAGTCTTGATTGCACGCATTGGTAGAAAAATGTCCAACACCATGAGATGAACAATATTCTGGTCGTAGTGGCTCACCAACTATCATCCATGATGCTGTGGAAGATTATGATCTTTGGATATGGCACACATATTTTGGAATGTCAGGTAGTAATAATGATATTAAGGTTTATGAGCATCCAATCTTTTTTCAGATTTAGCACAAAGTATTGCTCCTCCTGCTCATTATATTATTCAAGGAAAAGAGTACAATGTTGGTTACTATTTAGCGAATGGTATATATCCAAAGTGGTGAACACTTGTCCAAACAATTCATCAACCACAAGGTAGAAAGAAGAAATATTCTGCCATGAGACAAGAAGCATGTAGAAAAGATGTTGAACGTGCCTTTGGAGTTTAGCAATCTCGATTTGCAATTATCGCGGGAACTTCACATTTTTGAAAAAAAAGTCTTACATGTATTATCATGCGTAATATGATAATAGAGGATGAACGTGATATACATGCACCCGTTGAAGATATGAGAGATACACCAGTTCCATATGTTGAAGTGGCAGTTGATGAGGCAGCCAAGTTCACTCAATTTCTTACCCGGCATAAACAAATTCACGACAAAAACACTCATATTGAGCTCCGCAATGCTTTAATTGATCATTTGTGGGAACAACTCTCAAATTCTGACAACTAAACTAAGAGTATTTATTTAATTTATTGCTTTAAATTCAAGTAGTATTTTATTTATGACGTATGAATTATTATAATATTATTTCAATATTTAATTTTATAAGGCTTTAGCATGTATTTGTGAAATATTGATTAGTAATATTTTAGCTTGTATTTGTGAAATAACGAGTGAAATGTCAAAAGACATATTAAATGAGGGACTAATGTATAAATACATGATAATTAGAGAATTAAATATAATAATGGTAAAAAGTGAGTAAAAAGAATAAAAAAAACATATTCCTTTTTAGTGATAAAAATACTGTAAACCGTTCGAGATATAATACTGTATGATGTGATGTTTACACAATTTTAATGTAAAAAATGGTGTAAACTATTGGAGATGACCTATAAAAATAGAATCGATCAAGAAGAGAAATGGAAGAGAGCAATAGGAGAAGAAATGATTCAAATTTCTTCCAGCCCTCCACATCAACGACGGCCATGCGAAGAAGAACGCTAAGGTATTCCTGACTCATATTTCTTCCGGCACAAGAAGGGAAGAATACTAGCCCAGATTTCATCCAATTAAAAAATAAAAAAACATTAGAATAGCCACATAGAAACAATAACGCCACGTCAACTTTCACATCAGTTGGGTAACCGGTTGGTGACCGGCTAGAAAGCTCAATTGGATGTAATTTTTATTAATTGTTTAACCCTGTTTTTCCAAAGAATTAGCAAGAATTTAGTTAACTTTAAAATATTAATCTTATATAAGAATCTCTAACTGGGACATGCAACTTTCACAACAATCCCTTTCCTCTGAGAAGCAATCCCCTTTACCACTATTACAGGCTTACTCAGATGCCTCAGACGGCTTTAACCCATCAGATGAATCATACTTTCCAGATGACTTTCTGGGACATGCAACAGAATATGACCGTCGACCACCTATTGCAGAACAAGATGAAATAAGGGACTCCAAATTCAATAGAGCAATTTGTCGTAAATCTCAGTTTATAACCTCAGATAACTGTCTTCCAACTGACAATTTGAACACTCAGCTCAAAATTTACAAGAAATCCCAGAAGAACAAACGGCGTCACAGTATGACGACTAGATCTCAGAGCAAACGATTTCCATGGGCCTCGTTATTTATTTTATTTTCTTTCCCTTTATGTTCGTTTTTTTTTGCACTGCTTTTTATTTTCACTTTGTACCCTTCAATTTTATCAATAAAATCTATTTTATTTAAAAAAACAAATCTCTAAGTTAAGGGTTTCGCAGCCCTTAGAGCTTTTTTTACATCTTCGGTTATACGAAAGACGACTGGGTTTCTCCTCGGCGATCTTCATCCACGGAAGTCCGCTTCTGCTGTTTGGTGGATTCGAGCGAGGTTTCGTTGTTACTACGGAGTTGATTTGCTGATCGTGAGGTCGGGCGAGAGCAGGGAAGCAATTTTCTTTTGTCGAGGTGGAGGGGTCGACAGAGAAGAAGATGGACGTGAGGGGTGATGTAGCTACGAGTGCGGGACGAGGAGTCTTGCAAGGACTTCGAGTAGGCCAGATTGCGTTCGACAATGGAGGATCAATTAGCATGGTACCGGTGGTACGACCTCCTCCTGAACCACCACCATGAGTTGTACGAGCTGCTAGAGTCCGTGAAAGTTTTCCTAGTAATTTTTACTGTTTGTCATTTGTTTTCTTGTGTCCATCTTTGTTGTTGGGTTTGAGAGTTTGTTTGAGTTTTTAGCCTCTCTTTATGTCATTGGGTATGGTTGGATCTATGGGAACATGTTTGGCTGTGTTAAGCCCAATACATGGTTAGCGATTCGTGTTGCTCTTTCAGGAGTGACTGTCTCAAATTCTGATCATAGGGTTTACAGCCGTAGTTGTTGGAGTTTAGTTGGTGTCAGGTTTATTTTCCCTTTGTTTGATGTAATGATCCTGAATCTTTTGATATGAATAGAGGCATGTTTTAATGATAAACAAAAGAATCTCTAACTTAAAATTTTCTAACAAAGTTTATGAAATTAGTATAAAAGGATACTTTAACTTATAAGTGAATTAACTAGTACATATATATTTATGTTTTGTAAAATTAATTTCCCGAAAAGGTAAAATTAGACAATTTTAACGGGGCGGTGGGAGTAAGACGGAGCCGATTGCCATTGTGCCTAAAATAAATAACAATGCAACAAAGAAATTCACCATGCTCTCAGTTCTCATGCATCTTCCAATTTGTGTTTTGTTTTTCATTATTTGGTTACAACTCTATTTTTGTTTCTTATTTACTTCTCCATCCGTAAAATTTGGTTAAACTTGAGTTGCACAGAGTGATACTCTGTATCAAAATAGAATGGTGTGGTTGAAATTAACAAATACTTTTGAGACGTGCGAGTAACTATGAAAATTTGACAATTCAATAACACAAGTTTTCCAAAAACTTAGAAGAAGACATTGTTGTTTTGGTGCAGAGTATCCTATTTGCTTGCGTGGTCTACTTCCCTTCATCATTCCCAACGCAAGTTGATTACTTGGAGGATAGCCCAACAACTGTGGGGAATATAAGCTCCATAAACACATCTTCTTACGATTTTGATTCATCTTTCAAAGTGAGCTTGCCACCGGCCATTCTACAATCCTTCACTTACCCCGCACCCTTGCCGCAATGGCAAACAGGTAATCAATCTTTTTAGACATGAAGCATAGTATAATACTAACTATCGGGTGAGGTGTTCCCTGGCCCTCATCCAAAAACTCTCGGGTTTTGGTTTAATACCGGGTTTAAAAAAATATTAAAGTTTGTGGATAAAAATGTGATTACTACAATTGGTAATATAAAATTGAAAGTGGTCATGATCAATGAATCGTCCAATGTCTTTATTTGATATCATTTGGATTGTTTGTTCGTTTTTAGGCGCAGCAGGAGCATTCGCAAGTGGAGCAATTGACCTTGGAGGATTAGTAGTGTCCCAAACAAGGAACCTCACTCAGGCGTGGAATACCAGCACGGGCAATGGCGCCACTTTCTTCGAACCATCGTCGCTGCCAGAGGGATTCTTTATTCTGGGATCATATGCACAACCGAACAATGTCCCGCTTTTCGGAGGCGTTCTCGTAGCGAAAGACATCACGGGCCGTTCATTAAGAAAACCGACCGACTACGCCCTCTTTTGGTGTAGCCAGAATAACAGCAAGGCAGGCTCTGATACCACACAGCCTGGCTACTTTTGGTTGCCTAACTGCACGGCAGGATATGTAGCCGTTGGATACCTTGTGACAAACACATCTAATAAGCCTCCCCTTGAGAAAATCAGGTGCGTCCTTTCCAATTTCACAAATGCATATGTGACCGCCGGTGATCCGATTTGGAGCGTGGATGGGGTGTCAATATCCACTGCCATGCCGCAAGAGCGCGGGGTCCAAGCCCGCGCCCTGGCCAGCTGTTCATTCATGATTCAAGCCAGTTCGACCAATCTTTCTTCACTGCCGCCGCAGCCAGCTTGCTTGAGAAACGCAAACCAAAATTTCTCATGTGCAGCGATGCCAAGCAAGTCCCAAATCCAGGCTTTGATGGAAGCCTACGGTCCTTTATTTTACTTTCACCCGAACGAGAAATTCCTGCCTTCTTCGGTGGAATGGTTTTTCCAGAACGGGGCTTTACTACGGTGGAAAAATGGATCATCATCAGAAGGGGGAGTTCCAGTCTGGCTGAACGGCTCGAACCTTCCTTTAAATGGAACCGGGTACTGGTTGGACCTCCCGGCTAACGCTACAGAGAAGCAGAGAGTGAAGAAAGGTGACGTAGAGAACGCGACGACCTATGTACACGTGAAGTCACTGTTTGGCGGGACGTTTACCGATATGGCGGTTTGGGTGTTCTACCCCTTCAATGGCCCCGCCTTTGTGAAAATCGGGAAAGAGACGATCTCTTTGGAAACAATAGGAGAGCACACGGGCGATTGGGAACACGTGACGTTAAGGATTAACAACTTCGACGGGGCGTTAGAAAGCGTGTTCTTCTCACAGCACGCGGGAGGCGTTTGGGTAAAGGCCTCCCAGTTGGAGTTCTGGAATGGCACAAATAAACCGGTGGTTTATGCATCCCTGCACGGGCATGCTGCATATCCGAAAGCGGGGGAGAACTTGCTAGGGAGTGGATTGGTGAAGATAAAGAATGCGGCTGCGATTGGAAAGGTGTCCATGGACACGGGGCTGAACTTCACGCTTCTGTCCGCGGAGTGTTTGGGCGACGACGCTGTGGTTGAGCCAAATTGGTTGAACAGTTCTTTAGCATGGGGTCCGACTGTTATCTATGCCATTGCAAAGGAGCTGAAATTTCTCCAACATAAACTGCCCCCAGAGCTTATGCATGAGCAAGGACCGTGTAGCCCAAAGCTCAAAGAATCTTGGAGTCTAGATGAAAAGTGTTGGAATTAACCAATAAGCCATTAACCATATACTATCGTATATAATCAAATGTTATAAGAGAGTTGTTGTTTGATTGTTGGAACAGTTCATTTTTACCACTGTTTGATGAATGTCTCTGAATCTCTGATTATATTTAACTACGTGCGTCGTGCGGATATGGATTTGAACTTATCTCCAAACTTTTACACAAACTACATGCATCCAGTGTTGTATTGTAAGTTCATATAGCTTAGGGTACGTTTGGTTTGGGGTTATCATATATGCCGGCCCGAATCTAATGTCCGAAATGTAAGATATCCGTTTGGTTCACAGGTTCGAAAATTTTTGTGGAATGATACATTCCCAAAATGATAATAATGATATCTCATTGCCGGTAATGTCAAACCCATCTTCCCCTTTGTTTATCTTAGATTCCCTCCTGACCATAAATCTTCTTCCAAAAATACCCATCCTTATGCACAATCTAGTACGTGGAATCGTGGATAGGCAGGGGTGGACCGTAGTACAGACCCAGGGGGGCGGTCGGCCCTCAACAACAATTTTTTTTAGTATATATATATAATAAAAAATAATTTTCGCTCTCCCAAAAATTTTTTTGTTTAGGTTACCGCTCTCTCAACACAAACTTCCTGGGTCCGCCCTTGTGGATAGGCCAACGTTTGTCTTCAGCGAGTCAAGGAAAGTCTATCTTTTCTCATTCTGCTACTATGTCGATTAAACTCAGTTGTAATATAACAAATTAATTCATGAGTCTTAACAACTTAGTTTGGATATTAGCGTGTCCACTAAGTTATGTTTAACAACTTAGTGAACTTATTAATATTAATTTGTTATATTTGCGTGTCCACTAAGTTGTTAAATAATTTATTAAACATTTTAATTCAATAAAAAATCAAATGCAGAAGAAAAATTAAAATAATGTTACGTAACTCATAAATTTTAAGTTCACTCCAAAAAAAAACTTATAAATTGTAGGGAAAATGGAAACTAATAATCCAACCTTTTAGCGGTCTTCTTACAATAATCCAACCTTTTGGTTATTCATGAATAATCCAACCTTTGCACCTCATCTTCATTCACTGGTCTCTGACCGGTTGATGACCTGCTATTTCAAGCTATTTTCTTATCTTTGCAAATCATTATATCATAAATCTCATCTTTCACAAAGATAATATTTTGCAAAGATAAGAAAATAACTTGGAATAGTAGGTCATTAACCAACCAGGGACCAATGAATGAAGATGAGGTGCAAAGGTTGGATTATTCATGAATAATCAAAAGGTGGGATTATTGAAAGAAGACCGCTGAAAGGTTGGATTATTAGTTTTCATTTTCCCTAAATTGTAACATTCACTTTCTTGTTTTGCTGCAGCTGCTTAAATAATAACGTGTTCACCTTTATTTATTGATGGGTGTCACTATGCATTTACTTAAACAAAATTATTAATAATGTTCATTAATCTTCGACATTTGTGCAATTAAACATACTTTTCTTAAAAATAATTCACTTAATTTTGATTGTTTATTATTAAGATATTTTATTGTTTTCTTAAATTTATAGTACTTTAGTCGTAGGTTGTTAGGGTGTATAAGTTTGTTATGTTAAGAGAAAATATGTAAAGGACATCAAAGTAATTCACCGAATATGTAATACGAAGTATAAGATATCACTCAATCAAACAAATTAATGTCACATTCACTTAGAGCCCGTTTGGTAGCACCAAAATCGGCTGTTTTGGCTGATTCTGCTGAAATTTATGATATTCTGGCTGGAGTGGCTGTTTTGGCTGATTCTGCTGATTTACGAAAAAAATATTTTAAAAATATATTTTATTAATAAATTAAAGAAAAAATTATATGTAAAAATAGCTAAAATGGTCCTCTACAGTAACTTCAGCCAATACAGCCAGAAAAGTAATTCCAACCTTACTTTTTCGGCTTATTACACAATTCAGCGCGCGAAAGTAAAAGTTACGTGTTTGGTGAAAAAGCTGGCTGATAAGCCTGATAAGCCGAAAATAGAGTTCTCCAAACGGGCTCTTAATCTTAACCAAACACACATGAGATACAAATTGATAACATTCTCATCAATGTAACATGCCAAGTAATCTAACATTCCCGTTGTAATTTAACATTCCGTGAACCAAACGGATCCTTAGGGTTTTACTCTATCATTGATGAAAATTGCTGCAGTTGAGCTTCCTGATTTTGGAGCAATCTAATTGCAGTAAAGTAATGAGATGTGTGAACTGTGAATGCAAAGCAGCGGTTGTCACCTCGTTTGGCCAAACTCAACCTTACCAGCAGAGCTAAAATAAATCAAAACTGAACCCTATAGATTGCATCTGGTTGTAATTCATCCAAATCACATTAAACCGAACACAACAAAAACCACGTGAAATCGAATAATTGAAATTTTAATATATTCTTTAAATACTAGTATAATTGAATCATTTGAATCAAATCTAATTAGATTGTACCAAGATGAAAACACACTTTGATTGTTACTTCGTATAATCGTATTTGGTAACTATTCTCCCGATCCGTTTCAAACTAATTTGAAATCAAAAGCCGACCATGAATGCTCCAACATTAAGGGTCTGTTTGCAACAGCTTCTGCTTTTAAAAAAGTGCTTTTTAAATGAAATGGGGAGAAGTGATTAAATAAAAGTTAATAGTGTTTGAGAAAAAAGTGATTTTGAAAAGTAAAAGTGGGTAGTGTTTGGTAAAATAAGTGCTTTTTGTGTAATAGAAAAAGTAAAAGCACTTTTGACGCGGAAGCCGAGAAAAATAAAAGTTGTATTGTTTGGGAAAATAAGTGCTTTTTCAAAGCCAAAAGCTGAGAAGTGCTTTTTTAAAAGCAGTTGCAAACCAACCCTAAAAAGAAGACCTTTTGAATGCAGCATACCAACACACCGAAAAGAAAGACTGTTTTCGGATGACCCATAGTGAAGCGTAGACAGTTTAGTGAGTCATTATGTTTATATTGTTTTCTTTTGGACTGAAACTTACAGGTCCGGTCTGTTTAATTCTGGTCTAGTCTAGTATGAATTGATCTGGTAAATGTCCGATCTCTGTATATTTCCAGACTGTCCAAGTCTGGTCTGATCTGATCTGTTTAAGTATGATCTGATCTAATCTGGTCTAAGACTTAAAATAGTCCAAAAACCATATGTATTCATAATATTCCCAAGCAAAAAATAGTGAGCATTTGACTTCATTACAAATGGTGAAAAAGAGATGTAACTACATATATAAATCAAACAACATGGAGGAATTAAAAAAGAGGTGGAAGTCTTACTTTAATACATAATTGAATGACAATAAAGTGCAAAAGTATCATGTTTTAGTTTTTAAACTTTCCCCTCTTCAAGAGCTTGTATATACTTGGATCTTTTGGGAGATCCTTTGAACTTCCATAACAAGTCTTGACCTCTTTGAATTTGACACTAATATTTCTAACCTTTTGAAATTTGTAAAAATGCAAAGCAAAGATATTTAATGTATTTGGATGGATGTTTGAGATGACGGCAATAATAGCTAATTAAGAATAGCAAGGTTCTGGGAAGAAACACAAGAGTCATCGAAGGAAACTCCTCACTTTTTCCCCAATGAAATGTAAATATATATACTACGTATATATGATCATCCAAAGTACTATGTACATCATATGGACAAAATAACATCAAAATGTACGCTATCCCAAGGAAGGATACTACATCACCTCAAAAATACTACTCTACTAGAGCATCTACACAAATACCATCACAAAATATAGATTATGAGGGTTCAAAAACTAATCATATGATACGGGTATATAGAGTAGAGAACTTTATACACCACATGCTTGATTTGCGCCAAAATCTCCTCCACTTTGGGTTTAGCTCCATCAAATTGGATTACATTCCTAATTCTCCGAATCCAATAAACCGTGTAGCAAAAGGTTGTCCTCATTGCTTTGGCTCAAATATGTGCTCCTCTATGCTATCTTTTAAGCCATTTGGCCACACTTGAGAGTGTAGTCATCTGCCCCGTGATCCCAAGCCAAACCTTCACCATGTTCCATATCATCCCTGTAAAAGGACAAACAAAATAGGTGTTGTAACACCGTCCCCAAATGTATTTACTTTCAAGTGAATATTGTATTTTAACCTTATTGAAAAGGTTAACGAATTTATGATGTCCTGAATTTTTATTAATTCTTTCGCACGAATAGTAAATTCACACGTGGGGCCCGCACCGGGAGCGGGGGGCCGCCCGATAGTCCCGGGACCACATAAATTATTCATCTCGGCCTAGATAATAATTATATGGTGGTGGATAACTCATTTGAGCCATGGACAGGTCCAGAGTTGACCGATTGGACAAAAGAGGCCCAAATACCAGTATTGGCAATTTAACCGTTAAAAGCCCGAAATTGAATTTCGGGGACTTATAAACTAAAGTTGGGGAATGAATATTCATTATAAGGGTCATAATGGTGGAAAACACATAATATATTTTATTTGACCCGATAAAATAAAATATAATTAAAACAGTCCGAAAAATACAACTTTCGGGACAAAGTGTACACTTTTGGGCAAAAAGGGTTGACCTCCCACATGGGTGGGGGCCAACCCACGATTTTAGACACTCCATGAGGAGTCTTGGTCGGCTGGAGAGGCATGGGAGGGAGTGGGAGGTGATTGGAATAGGATCAAACAATTGAGGTGGGCCTCTCCCACACCACTCATACATTGGAGACAAAAGAGACACCCATCTCTTCCCTCCTTCATTCACTCGGCCATACACTCAAGAGGAGAAGGAAATCCCAGAAAAATTACCATCTTCCATAGCCAAGAACAAGCAAGCTCAAGGAGGTCCAAGGGAAGGATTTTTGAGAAGGAAAAACTAGGTGGATCAAGGTAAGGACCTTATAATAACTTCTCCTCTATTATTTGATTATCATATGAATTATATATCATATGAAGAACCTTGAGGGTTGTTCTACATGATTTAAGTGTAGAATGATGGGTTGGAAGGTGGTTTCATGTCCAAAAACGGACTTAGGAGCCAAACCGACAAGTTCACCGGGAAATAACCTTTTAGAGTTTATTTGTATTGATTAAGGTTTTATGATGTTAAAACCTTGTTAGGGACTTGATTTAAGCATTTTCGAACCTCGCCGGAGTTTCGCCAGAGTTGGTCAAAGTTCGCCGGAAAATAGTCAAAGTTCAACCGGGAAGCGTAGAACGCGTGTGAGCTCACTTAAGGTGAGGATGACCGACTATATTGCTTATAATTATTGGGTTAATTTCATAAGATTACCTAAATGAATTATATGTGTTTGGCATGATGTATTTATAATAATAAAATGCCTAAATGAGATTCTTATTGATTATAAGCAAAAATGCATAATATACGAATTTATGAATAAATTGTGTATGATTATGTGTTATGAATACAATGGTATAATAGTTGTAAACTATAAACTAAATTGTGATAAATATACTTTTACCTCATGTAAGGAAGTCATGGAAGGATAAAAGTGATATTTTGATATTAGAGCCAAGTTATACTTGAATGTGGAATTTAATTGAGATATTCAAATTATTATGAACTCAAGTTACATTTGGAGTAGGCCTTAAGGGTTACTCAAAATTGATGAAACCTAGACTAAGAAGTGGTTTAGGGATTAGTTGACGTGACTATGAGCCGAGCTCTAGCACGTGGTAGCATGACTATGAGCCGAGCTCTAGCAAACGTAGGGTGACTATGAGCTGAGCTCTAGCACAAATTAGTATGACTATGAGCCGAGCTCTAGCAAACGTAGGGTGACTATGAGCCGAGCTCTAGCACAAATTAGTATGACTATGAGCCGAGCTCTAGCAAACGTAGGGTGACTATGAGCCGAGCTCTAGCACAAATTAGCATGACTATGAGCCGAGCTCTAGCATGAAGGAACATGAGTTAAGTACAAATGAATAACATCTTGGATTGAGGGTCTTGGAAGTTGAAACTTTGATTATACTTAGTATAGTTGTCATTGTACTTGTCAAATGCTTCCAAGTACTGACCTCCCCTTCACGGGGGAGGCCACCTCACAGTTTCAGGTAGGGAGTAGAGCTTGCTACTACCGCTCGTTGCTTCGGGGAATTCAAGGAGGAAGGCGTGGTTCGTGCTTCTTCTGTTTCTGTTTTGAAAACAATTTAAATAATGCTCATGGATATTATTTCGAATATTTATTTGGGGGCTTGTATGCCCGTGGTTGCCACGTGTGGCTTGAATATTTGTAATTATGTTTTCGCTGCTTAATTAAATATTTTACATTATGATGGTTTATGGATGTACTATGTGTGAATGGTATTCAAGACGCCTAGTATAGTATGGATGAGTTGGACTGCGGTTGACTATTCGTACTGTACGGCGGGTTGTTGACGTGTCCGGTAGGTCCGGGGCGTGACAATTTAATTGGTATCAGAGCCTTAGTCCGTAAACTTCATAACGAAGCTTCAAAACTCCTTTTTGAAAACGATTTTGCAAACCATGAGCATAAAGTTTTGTACTTATGGAACTTTTGGTACTTGAGTTGCAAGGTCTCTAATTGTTAAGATGGTACCCTTAACAATTGGTATGGCGGTGATTTAAGCCAAAAGATGTCTTTAAGTACCTATCCATCACTTGACAGTTGATACGAGTCTAATGGCTCATTCGAAACTTCTTTCAGAAATGGAGCCAATTGGTAGAATCACTAGGAGGAACCCGACGGGTCGTGTACCGGGTGGGTCCGAACGCGGCAGCCGGGGGTCCACTAGGGTGTCAAGGGGAAGGGGCCGTGGAGGCCAACAACAGACCGTGAGCGATGGCCACGTGGACACCGAGAGTGAGACTTATTGGTCCTATGAGGACTCAACTTATAGACCGGAGACCGAGCCAGTGGAAACCCCATATGATGGGGGGGATGATGATGTGAGTGAAGAGAGCGAAGATGATGGCACTCCTGGGAGAATCGAGGCGCTGGTCCAACAATACCGCCGGGAGCGTGAGGAGAGGAGACAACGCCGAAGGCGCCGAGCGGGGCAACCTTCGGGCATGGCTTCAAGAGGGGGAAGTCATGGTGCTTCTAGGGTCCATGTTGAACCCCATGGAGGCCAAAATGCTGGAGGTCCAACCATAAGGATCTCCAAATTTATCAAGGAAGCAAGAGATTTGGGATGTAAACCGTTTGACGGGACGGGGGACATCTTTGTGGCGGCCGAGTGGATCAAAAGATTCAACGAAGCGGCCCTTGACATGCAGCTGCCACCCAACATGAAACTGAGGGTGGCAATAAGATTGCTTGAAGGCATGGCGTCCACATGGTGGGACGGAGTCAAAGGGAAGTACGGCAAGGCCGTCACTTGGGAGAACTTCCGACAGGAGTTCTTCAACCAATACTACTCCGACTTCGAGGTAAACATGAAGAGGAGGGAGTATACAAACTTGACACAAGGAGGTGCATGTACGGTGACGGAACTTGAGCACAAGTTTAGAAAGCTTGCCGAATTCATACCGGAGTACATATGTGATGAGAACCGGATGGTGAACCACTTCTGGGATGCCTTGGACCTTGACATACGCGAGAGGGCAACACAATTGCCTAATATGACGTTTAGTCAAGTGGTTGAACAAGGCCTGAAGGGAGAGAAGGAGTGGGAGGAAAGAAAGCTAAGGAATGCCGAGGAGGCGAAGAAAAGGAAGTGGGAAAGACATGGCCCCCAAGGTTCCAACAAGAAGGGGAACCATGGGGGAGGCGGATTGTTCAGGGCACCGGCACCGCCATCAAAAGGGAACCCGGCCTTCAGCGGGCACAACTCGGGCTCACAAGCGTCAACGGCGCCAAGGTGTAGGAATTGCAACCGGAGCCACGCCGGTAAGTGTCGTGATCCACCACGGTGCTACCAATGCGGGAGCACAGGGCATATCAAGCCCAACTGCCCTCAACTTGGTGGGAACCGAGGGGCGGGATCAAGCGGCCCTACTACGGCAAGTAAGAACCGAACCGGAGCACCTCATGCCAGTACGGGCCAAGGGGGAGCAAGCACGAGCAATGCGCCGTCCGTTAACCAAGGAAGGACCCAAGCAAGGGTCTACGCAATGACGGAGGCGGATGCCCGAGCTAACCCAGATTCGGTTGCAGGTACGACCGCTTAACTTCCCGTATTTTACCCATTCCTCATCCATAAATTGAAGTTATAAATCCTAGAATCCAGGTGGGAGCAGACGTAAGATTGAAATGGGAAAGGAGAGCAAAACCATGCTACTACCCGACCGGGTAGGGCAATAAACCCGACCGGGTAGGACAAGTTTTTGCCCTCGTAAACCTTCTGGATCGCATACCCGATCGGGTTTGGTAATGAACCCGACCGGGTAGGCCAAGTTTTTGCACTCATAGGTCCACTGGAACACATACCCGACCGGGTATGGTGGTATACCCGACCGGGTTTGTCAAAAAATTTCTGCCCGAACCCACTGGAACTTATACCCGACTGGGTATAGTATGTTACCCGACCGGGTACACCTCGAAGTGTTCGTCAAATGAAAAAGTTGTCTTCATGAAAGTTGTAGATATTTTCATTGTCTAAATGATGGAATTTGAACCGAACGATTTGGTTAAGTATGTGAAGAGATATGATCAAAACGGTGAGACAGTGTCAATTTATATCTCAACTGCAAACGCCAACCATAATTGGGGGATTTTGCCCACTTTAAGGACATAATTTCGCATTATTTTCTTCGTAGGATTGGTCGGTATGTTAGAGAGGTATCTTACATGGCTTATAAATGTAGGAACACTAAAGATTAATGGGAGATGTGCGAGAATCCTCATCGATACCGGGGCGCAACGATCATTTGTGAATGAGGCATTCGTCGGGGGATTCAACGTACCCCTGGTACCGATGGCTCAAGCCCTATTGGTATCCACACCCCTAGGGGAAGACATCGAGAGAGATAGCCACTATCCATCGTGTGAGGTGGAGGTGGAGGGCCAAAACTTGTCGTGTGATTTCGTGCCGCTGAGTATGATTGAGTTCGATGCAATCCTGGGGATGGATTGGCTTGAGAAGCATCATGCTAGGGTCGATTGTTACACGAAAGTACTTGAACTCGAAGGCAATGAAGGGGTAACCTTACGCTTCGAGGGGGATAGGGCAAAATCCAATAGTTGTATCATATCCGCTGTGAGGGCTAAGAATATGATGAGGAAGGGATGTCACGCATATCTAGCGTATGTGGTGGACAAAACCAAAGAAGAGACGAGCATTGATGATGTTAGGGTAGTATGCAAGTATCGGGACGTCTTTCCTAAAGACTTACCAGGACTTCCACCCGATAGGGAGATTGAGTTCGTGATCGAAGTCGAGCCTGGCACCAAACCAATCTCCATATCGCCATACCGTATGGCACCCGCTGAACTTAACGAGTTAAAAACCCAATTGCAAGAGCTTTTGGATAACAGTTTCATCAGACCAAGCCACTCCCCGTGGGGAGCACCAGTCCTTTTTGTGAAAAAGAAGGATGGAACACTTCGAATGTGCATTGACTATCGTCAACTGAACAAGGTCACAATCAAGAATAGGTATCCTTTGCCTAGGATTGATGACTTGTTTGATCAACTACGAGGAGCAACCGTGTTTTCAAAGATTGACTTGAGGTCGGGGTACCATCAATTGAAGATTAAGGAGGATGACATACCGAAGAGTGCTTTCCGCACGAGGTATGGGCATTTTGAGTTCCTTGTTATGTCGTTTGGGTTAACAAACGCCCCGGCGACATTCATGGACTTGATGAACCGAGTATTTCACAAATACTTGGACCGATTCGTGATTGTGTTCATTGATGACATCTTGATCTACTCAAAGAGTGAGGAAGAGCATGAGGAGCACTTGATACTCGTTCTTGAGACGCTACGGGAGAAGCAACTCTATGCCAAGTTTTCTAAATGTGAATTTTGGCTTAAGGAGATTGGCTTTCTCGGGCATGTGGTTTCAGGATCGGGGATTGCTGTTAACAAGAAGATAGAAGCCATCACTGAATGGGAAAGGCCAAAGAACGTCAAGGAAATTCGTAGTTTCCTTGGATTGGCAGGATACTATAGAAAGTTCGTGGAGAAGTTCTCTGTTTTGGCATCACCGTTGACGAAGCTCACTCGAAAAGGAGCTAAGTTTGTATGGGATGACAAATGTGAGAAAGGGTTCACGGAACTGAAGGAGAGACTGACTAAGGCACCGGTACTTGCATTACCCAAACAGGGTATGGGGTACGATGTCTATAGTGATGCGAGCATCCAAGGGCTTGGATGTGTGTTAATGCAGGAGGGGAGGGTAATCGCCTATGCTTCACGACAGTTGAAGAAGCATGAGGTAAATTATCCTACTCATGATTTAGAGCTCGGGGCAGTGGTGTTTGCGCTCAAGATATGGAGACATTATCTCTACGGAGAGACATGTCACATATACACTGACCATAAGAGCTTGAAGTACGTGTTTACTCAGAAAGAGTTAAACATGAGGCAGAGACGGTGGATGGAGTTGATAAAAGACTACCATCTAGTGATTGAGTACCATCCAGGCAAGGCAAATGTGGTGGCAGATGCTTTGAGCCGGAAGAGCTCATCTGGGGCATTGATAGCTAATTTGAGGGCATTAAGAGCCCAACTGGAGGTGTCCAGTAATGGTGCCTTATTGGCACGGTTTGAGGTGAGACCTACCTTACTTGATGAGATCAAGAAGGGTCAGGAAACTGACGAGGAAATCATGAAGATCCGGGAACGCATGCAAGCGGGACCGGTGGAGGACTTCAGGAAAAGAGATGACGGTCTTTTATTATTTCGTGACCGAGTGTGTGTGCCGGCTGATGGTGAGCTCCGAAAGTCCATCTTAGAGGAAGCTCATTCATCGGCTTATGCCATGCACCCCGGGGGCACGAAGATGTATCGTGATATGAAGGAAAGTTACTGGTGGTCCGGTATGAAGAGAGAAATAGCCGAGTACATCAGTCGGTGCCTTACTTGTCAGCAAGTCAAGGCCGAACATCAGCATCCAGCTGGGTTATTACAGCCACTTTCCATTCCAGAATGGAAGTGGGAGCATGTGACTATGGATTTCGTGGTGGGGTTACCACGGACCGTGAACAACTATGATGCGGTATGGGTAGTAGTTGATAGGCTCACCAAGAGTGCACACTTTTTGCCTATCAACATCACTTACCCTCTCGAAAGATTGGCAAAGCTATACACGGAGGAGATTGTGAGACTACATGGAGTCCCGATATCCATTGTCTCGGATAGGGATCCACGATTCACATCTCGATTTTGGCCCAAGTTTCAAGCATCCTTGGGCACTAAATTGAAGTTCAGCACGGCTTTTCACCCACAGACGGATGGACAATCCGAGCGAGTGATACAGATATTGGAGGACATGCTTAGGGCGTGTGCTCTGGAGTTCCAAGGAAGTTGGGACAAACATTTGGCTCTAGTCAAGTTCGCCTATAACAACAGTTATCAGGCGAGTATTGGCATGCCTCCATACGAGGCATTGTATGGGAGGAAGTGCAGAACACCGTTATGTTGGGATGAGGTTGGCGAGGCCAAGCTCGAGGGAATTGAACTTGTTGAAATCACCAAGGCTAAGGTGAAAGTCATTCAGGATAGACTCAAGGCTGCCCAAGATCGGCAGAAGAGCTATGCCGACAAACGACGAAGGCCATTGGAGTTCGAGGTTGGTGATAAGGTCTTCCTAAGGATTTCTCCTTGGAAGGGTATCATTCGATTCATATCGAGGGAAAAGCTTAACCCCAGGTACATTGGTCCATTTGAAATCCTTGAAAGGATAGGGGCTGTAGCATACCGTCTCAAGTTGACGCCGGAACTTGAGAAGATACACGACGTGTTTCACGTATCGATGCTCAAGAAATACTTGAGGGATCCATCTCACATTCTTGAGAAGCCACCGGTGGAGATACGTGAAGATCTACAATATGCTGTGGAACCGGTAAAGATTGTGGGTCAACAGGTAAAGAAACTGAGGAACAAGGAGATTCCTATGGTAAAGGTTCTTTGGAGGAGTGATCGAGTTGAAGAAGAAACCTGGGAGACCGAGGTCTCAATGAGGGAGCAATACCCGTTTCTTTTCGATTAGACACGTGGATTTCGGGGACGAAATCCCAATTAAGGGGGGGTGAACTTGTAACACCGTCCCCAAATGTATTTACTTTCAAGTGAATATTGTATTTTAACCTTATTGAAAAGGTTAACGAATTTATGATGTCCCGAATTTTTATTAATTCTTTCGCACGAATAGTAAATTCGCACGTGGGGCCCGCACCGGGAGCGGGGGCCGCCCGATAGTCCCGGG